AAAAATTAACGTTAATTGATACTGCGGCTTATAATCCGGTGCGGCTTTTGGTCGTGAAAATACGGTAATCAAAATTACATTTACAAAGTCAAAAGAAATGGACTTATCAACTGATAATGATATGTGACATAATGAAGCTGATAGGTTCAAGAAAATGACAATTGACTAGTTATTTTGTATAAAAAAACCTAAACAGATCAGTGTTGACAACAATTCTACAGGATGAAGTTCAGTTCAAAAGTTGTAACTTTGCCAAAATAGTTATGTTTTCTTAAGGTACAATTTAAAGATTATAATACATACTGGGTTTCCTCAAAGAAAGTATATTCAGGTTTAGTCATATGTAGAGTTAGACACACTGAAGTCAACATTGATTTCAGGGTGTCTATTCTAAGCATACAACTTGAACCTAACTCAGAGTCATTGCTATGGATTTGTGGCATGGTAATGCTCATTTACATTTTACTTGTTGCTACATATTACAATAGATATAATAATTGCCATATTTGAAGACAAGAATTTTTCCTGGTATTGAATAGAGTTCCCCAACCTTGCTTGTACAATAGTTGTTTGAGATAACCATTCTTTGCTTGTTTCATGAAATAGAATGAATAATGTCTTCATTTTTGAGCATTAGTGTTAAAAACACTTTCATGCCTTTGCAAACATGTTCTCATCACATCCAATCCATCCTTATGGCCATTTAATAGAGATCTTCCTGATGTCCTGGTAGACAATATACTTTTCCTTCTAGTCTCTGAACTATCACTCAGTAGCACCTTCCGTACTACTACCTGCATGGATTTCTGATAAAACTCTTTGGATGCAAAGTAGTAAATGAATGGATCTATGCAATTGTTGAGACAACTAAGGCACAAGGTGAGTTTGTAAATATGATAGTAACCCTCTTTATTTGTGAGACGGCTGACCATGTGCACCAATAGGATAAAATTGTTGGGTGCAAAACAAATGATGAAAACCAAGAGCACTATTATAGCCAAGTAGACTGACCGTGTCTTCTGCCCATTGCCACACTTGTGAGAAGCCTTAATAAGCTTCCAAATAATGGCAGTGTAGCAAGCAACTGTAACTGTGAATGGAAGCAAGAAAAAGAAAATAAAGGGCAGCAGGAGGAAAGCTGCCCATGCATGAATATCGGGAAGCATATTCCATGTAAGGACATCAAAACAGGTTGTAATGTTCAGCTCTTCTACGTAAAAAGTCAAGTCATTTGAGGCAAGGGGCCACAAGGACAATAGTACAAAAAACCACATTACAATGCAGGTGGCAATTGCATATCTCTTTTTTCTCCATTTTTGGGATGTCAGTGGGTGCACTACACCCAAATAGCGCTCAAAGCTGATGAAGGTCATAGTCAATATGGAGGAATACATGTTTGCATAAAACATTATTGTGACATAGCTGCACAGCTGTATGCCGTAAGACCAGTTGTTCTTCTTCACGTGGTATATAATCTGAAGGGGAAGACAGGAGGCCAGTGCAAGATCCGTGAGGCTGAGGTTAATCATGAGAAGAATTGATGGTGTTCTGGGTTTGATATGAAAGAAGAGAATCCAGAGTGAGAAAGTATTTCCAGGGATACTGATGATAACAACTAGCGAATACACAGTTGGTAAGATGATCATAATATCAGAATTCTTAAGCATGTCCACTGTTGCATTATCCAGTGACGTATTATTAAACATTTTCTATATTTGATTTTTTCTTCTTGAAAATTTGAAAGATGTATCTCACAGCTTAAATTTGTACCCTATAAAATAGAAACACACAGAAAAGAGGTCAATGAAAATGCAAATTCTATGGAGCACTTTCTCATATGTCATGTACACCTTTCTAAAGACCGTCACATATTTCTTTCTAAAGATATTTACTAAATTAACTAGTCAGTCTACTGTTTTTTTTTACTACATTTATTCAAAATTTCTGTTAAGTACCTCAAAATTAAATTTCCCAAGCATTTGTACATTGCATGGTAGCATTGCAACAGATCAATAGCATTCAACAAAATATAATAAAACAATGATATAGATTATAAAGATGAAAACTATGGAAAGAAGGGGGGAATTTAAATGGAACATTTTTTAAAATTAAAAATACTATGTAAATAAGGTAAGAGAAACACCCAACTCTGGCCCCAGAAGTAAGACAAGGATAATCATGGCAAACTCATTTTTAAAAGCCTCTCACTCTTCTGGTATCTCTTTGGATTTTGGATTAAATGGATATTTTAAGAAGACTTCCTGAAGATACAGTAGCTTCAGATTATGTCCATTTAGTGGGTGGCATTCAATTAGGTACCATTGTCCATGGACATCAGTGTGGTCCCAAATACTTCTTTAGTGCTTTCATATACTCAACTCCCTATTTTATTAAACTAAAATAAAATAAAAAATAGGAAGTAGATATGTTGCAAGACAATAGTTTTTTGCATTATATTTATTTACAGGAATGTCTTTTGCTCCACAAAAGTTCTAATAGGATGGTTCATGCTAGCTTGAATTCTGACATATAGTTGTTTTGTATCTGGATGTTCATTATGATAGCTGTCTTGTGAATGGGCACTGTAGACATACAGTCAAAATTCTAGATGTGCCACTGTGCACCTTCTGATGCAAACCCAGCATCTTGAATTATGCCGGAGGACAATAAAAACCAGTGAAAATGAAAAAGTCAATAACAAAAACAACAACAATAGCAAATAACAACAACAACAATGATAATACCTCTGGAGAACGAAGCTTATAGCTAATGAAGAAGTACTGGGGGAAGTTGAAATTAAACGATGAATTTTCCAGGGCGATTCCCTTTCACCCCTACTTTTTATACTCTCAATGCTACCACTGACAACCATTTTGAAGAAGGTGAACTGTGGATACGAACTTGCAAAGAAAGGATTGAAAATTTCACACTTGGTAACCATGGATGATATGAAGCTGTTTGGTAAAACAAAAGCTGAACTGAATTGGTATGCAGTTTGGAATTGACAAATGTGCAACAATGGTAACCAAGGCAGGCAAGGTCCTAGAAGATGATGGAATACAACTTGAGAATGAAGAAATGTTTGTCAGNCACTCTACAATGCCCTTTTTTTGGAAAAAAAATGGGCCTGTTTTCATGAAAAACAGACCGTTTTTGGGAGGTCTGCAGAGTGGAAAAACTTTTTTTTAAAAATTTACTTTTCGCTTTCACTTTTTTCCATGCTATTGTAACTTTGGACGGTCATTAAATGAACTTTTATTGGGGGAGGGAATGACATATGATATAAAATAAACTACATGATTTCTGTGGGACAAAGTACAACATTGGGGATTATGATGTGACCCTCCTGATCCAGATCTTGTCTTTTTTCATCCACAGAAGTTTGTTTCAAATGTTTTGGAGCTCCATGTTCCTGATTCCCAATCCCCGAAGCATCAGAAAAATAACAGAATTGAGTTGATTCATTCAAGCTCCCAGAAATCTTTGACACCATCTGAAGTAAACTGAAAACATGTACTAGGCTCTCTTCCGACCTCTTCTTTTAAGAAACAGAGTAAAGAGCTCGATGATGATTGTATATAAATAGCTCAGCACAAACAAGAAAAGCATAGAGAATAAAATCTTAGCAACTGGTTAGAACGATCCGGCCACGTCAGAGCAACAGAGAGATTTTCTGAAACTCTGCCTTCTCCCTAGACTGTACACTTTTCATTTGATTTTCATTACTATTCAGAAGCACACAAGTCCTGAATTTAAAAAGTATTCCTGGGTAGAGCCAGCAGTCTAGCAGCAAAAAAAGGATCATACTGGATTATTATTAATTATTTGTAAAGGGCAAATATGAAGGTAAAAAAGCCCTCCATGGTTAATATTGTAACATTTATTTATTTATTTAGTATATGGCAGGTGGTAGCCAGGGATCACTGAGATCATGTGAGAGGCAAGAGTGTGTGGGGGTGGGGGTTTGGGGGAGGCACATAGTACTTTCATCAGAGCCCACTGGAGCTGCAAGGAGAGTTTATGTGTCTGTGTGTCTATGTGTAGTAACAGCCACCAAATGCTAAAGGCATCCCTTGGAAACATGCCAGTTTCCTCTTAATTAAAAACAGGGAAAGACAAACTTGGGAGGAAGGGTAGGAGAGCTTTCTTCCCCCACCCCACAAACCTAATAATAGCCCTTCTGTTTCACCAGGTCTCCTTCTTTCTCCTTTATTCTTGTCATCAAAAGCTGTTATGAATTGCCACTGAAACAGGCTGTTTTAAACATTTTCCCTTCTGAGCATGCTAGATAAAAGCTGATCCATTTTGAGATTCCCACCTTTTAATTGCTGAGTCTGAATGTGTTTGCAATTTATACCAATATCATGCTGACAAATCACAGCAACACCGCTGAAATAGAGCCACTCACTGTTGTCATTTACAATGGTTATTACTGTAGGACTGTGTTTCGCAAGCTTAGCAAATTTAATATGCATGGACTTTAATACCCAGAATTCCTGACTTGCCAGTCAGACTGCCTCTAAAATGAATGAATAAATGAAGGAAGGAAGGAAGGAAGGAAGGAAGGAAGGAAGGAAGGAAGGAA